AGGTCCGTTAGACTCAAAAAAAAAAAAAAAAATTAAAAAAAATAAAAATTATTTAATTTTTTATTTTTTTTTTTTTTTTTTTTTTTTTTTTTTACTTTTAAAATGATTAATTGAGCTGCTGGACAGATGTTTTTCTGTCAAATTGGCCAAATTCACATTAGATTTGGATTGTTGAACAAAAACAAGAGGCAAGTCAGAGGGCAACACAGAAAATGAAATATTAACAGGTTCCTGGAAGTTAAAGTTAAGAATTCATATTTGCTGTTCACAGCTGGATCCATCATAGTTTGGGGTTCATTACAACCAGATCAATGATTAAAAAAAAAAAAGTCACATTTTTACAATTTCCACTTGATCCATTCAATACTTTCTACCTCTTCTGCTGAACTCATTAACTCAAAATTCATAGTTTTGTCTTCAGTGTCACTTTTAAAAAGCATTTTGTGAAATTCTGCCAAGGAAATCTATTCTTTGTAACCAAGCTGGGGTTTTTTTATTTTTTTTATTGCCAGTTTACATTTGTTGATGGGAAAGAAACGTACACAAAAGCAACCGCAGGAGCAGTTTGGAATATTTACCTCTGATAATAAAGGCTGTTGCAAGTCAAGAAACAGACTGAAAATGTCTGAGTCGGGGAGAACATGCTCAACAAGTTCTCTATGTAAAGCATTTAGTCAAAGTCCCGACTACAGGGACTAAACTTGCTCAAAATACACTGAGGGAAGAAGGGGAGTGAATTCATGTTCCTTCAACAACATAAAATAGGAACTTTTAGCACCTTTGCTAATTTACCATGACGAATCACGGCTGAGAGTAATGCTGGAATGGTTTTGAGATATTCAGTCTTTTTAGGATGATTTTACAGGATTCAGAAATCTCCAAGGGCGATACGACACAAGCACGGCTCCACTGGTTTGCCTTAGCTTTCAGACAGAGCACATCATCATAACACGAGGCATATTGCTGTCGACACGCTACAACCCCCCACCCCGCCCGCCTCCTGTCAATTTGTTCACAGCTGACTTTTTAGTTAGCCAGTGATGCAAATCTGCCGTGACATCAAAGATCGGCTGCAAATGAAACTGGCTTGGCACTTCAATTTGTTCAATTGCAGCAGTATTTCCGTGAGTTCATATATATATATATATATATATATATATAAATGATCCCCTCACTCCTGCACGTTGCAATTAATCACTCGAGAACATTCATTTCTGTCGATAAATTAACTACAGAGAAAATAAAACACAATCACAAATATACACTGGAAAGCAAGAAATAAAAGAATAGACTTCTTCGAAATGTACTAACGCTGTATCTGAGATGACAAAGGTTAGGTGTTAGAGGAAACAGTGTTTTGCTGATGGAAACACGCTGAGGTGCTTCTGGAACATGTAATAATTTGGGTTGAGCTTGTTAGACTGTCACAGCTGCACAGAAACGTGCAGAAACAGAGAAAGGAAAGAAAGGGAAGCTTGGGTCTGGCTTAATTAGAAAACCATTGGAAAGAAGACAAGCAATAACTTGAACTTTCTCACATTCTGCCACGTTACAGCCACAAACTTCACCATATTTAATTGGGATTTTACGTGACACAGCAGCAGAAATTGGCACACTACAAATTTCAATTAGTTTTTTTTTGTTTTGTTTTTAAAGTTCTATGACTAAAAACGGCAAACCTAAACTTCTCCACAATTTTCTCTCTGACCTCGAGTCATTTTCTTCACCGAACAACTGGATTTATACAAAATTAAAGTTCACACATGGACAATTCACTAATTTGTTAACTTCTGAAGGAAATCAGTGGCTATATTTTATCAGGATGTCATATAATCTGTGAAAATCAATTATGTGCAAAACGACCAGATGTGGTCCCAGTACTCATCCTTGTGGAACGCCACAAGTATACTTTATTTTGTGGCATCAGATTAAAGGGTACTGAATACGAGCACATGCCCTTTTTTCACATTTTGTTGGTAAAAAGACCCCCTTTTTAATCATTTGTCTTTCCACTTAATTTATATAATTACACTAGTGTTGACTGTTCATTTTTCCAAGGTCAACACACTGAAGTGTGTGTGGCTGTAAAGTGTCAAAAAGTGAAAAGACGGAATATTTTTGTAAGGACCTGTGTGGACTGTTACAGATTTCCAAGTTTTAATTTAGAAGGTCATACTTGTTACTAAGCAACTTGTGTTACCAAAAAAAAGTATACAAACTTATTGTATCCTTTTTGTATAAGAATTACAGATGGTAAGTTATAATATCTATTTACAGTTGTACAAACCAAAGTTTCCACCTTCTTTCCATCACAAGTATAAAAAAAAAAAAAAAAAAAGATCTCTCAAATCAAATCATACAATTTCTAGCCTTCAGAAAGTCTATTTATAATAAAGGGCAGAATGGAAGCAGCTGAAAGCTGTGATACAGAAGACAGAAAACAATGACACCAGCTGCAGCTATTGACGTGTTGAGCTGCAGAACTGTCAAAAACTCACAAACATCTCATGCCCACATCCACGAAAACGTCTGAAGCAAACATTCAGGTCTGACGAAGTATCCACCGAGTACGAAGGCTTTTGGTTGAGCACAGAAAATGCAACAGGGAACTTTTACACAGAGAGACAAAATCCACAAATGGCTAAAGGGCATACATTCCTTGTTTCGATATAAAAGCACGACCGCAGAGTCGCCGTCCGATGCTTTCTGTTTGCACCGAGAGTCAGACGAGTTTAGAAAAATTGTCGTATAAAGGCGCCAGTTAAGGGTAAAACAAGCAGAACAACCCTTCAGAAAAGAAATGAGGTAGTGACGTTGAGACAAAACAAAAAAAGAAAAGAGGGATGCACCAGTCCTTGTGAACACTGCTCCGACCAATAATGACATCAAAATGAATCGGACCGAAAATACAAGAAATATTTTCAACATGTTTTTATTCAAAATCACATGAGCATAAATACAAAAACTGGGGTCATTTTTCCATAGATTTTGCTCTAAAAAAAATATTAGCTCCCTTATAGATGTCTTTTTTTTCTTACCTTTTTGTCAGTCTTGCATGTTTCAGATTACCAAATCAATTGCACATAATCTAAAGAGGAGTTTTCAAATGACAAATCCTTTTATTCAGAGGGGGACAGTTATCCATTACAACCCGCCCTCCTTGTAAAGTCATGAGTTAAGCGTCTCTGAGTTTCCTAAAAAGCACTACTTAAGTTTGAACTATTATTGTTATTATGTATCGTCTGGCCTTTAACAGGCCAAATTAAAGCTAGAAGAACCAAAAGATCAGTCAAACAGAACCTGTCCCACAACGTGAAGTAGGATAAATGGTTTTAAAAACAAATCCTGCCTGAATAAATTCAAGAACAGATTGCAAAGTTACTGACTGAGTAACTTACAACCAGACTGACAACCATCAGTCTGGTTGGAGTTACAAGGCCATTTCTGAGGCTTTTGTTCCCTAGTCAGAGCCATTATCCACAAAATGGACAAAACATGAAACGGTGGCAAACCTCCGCAGGAGTTAAGGTGGATCTTTGTCTTCCAACAATAAGAAAAACCAGGTGAAATTTGAATTCATGTAAGAGTTTCATATCATATGCTGATCAAAAGGAATTCAAACTTACAACCCCATTCTCAGGAAAGAAAAAAAAAAACATTTTGGAACAGATGGAAAAACTCTGGACAGTTCTGGAGGATGAGCTTCCTAGTATGTCTGACATAAAACTAAAACAGCATTTGGTTTAAGTAACATCACACGTGTCGTATTCACAGATCCTGCTGTGTGACCTTAAACACGTTGTTCATGTTCGAAAACCCTCCAAAAGAGCTAAATTGACTTTCACTAAATTTTAATTTAAAAAAATTAAAAAAAAGCCTTTTGTATTCACTACGATTTTGTAGTGAACACACTACATTAAATTTGGTCATCTGAAACATTTAAATATGACAAAAAAACAAAAGCAAGACAAACAAAAAAAAAAAATCTGCAAAGGGGCAAACACTTTTTAAGCCATCAACCAGCCTCGTTGGAAGAGTTTTACTTTTTGTGTAACAGCGTTCTGACATCAGTATGGACAGAGGTGCATCCCTGCCGAGCTAAATCAGGAGGGTGGTCTGCATGGATTGCTGTGAAATCTCCCCTTTGTTTTCCCTCCAGCTTAAATGCAACCGTTGTCAACATTGAGGTACTCTGATGTTAACACAAGATAGCCCCTCTGATAACTAGTAAAAAAAACCTAGTTCCCCCCCCACTCTCCCAAATGGACATGTGGCTCCACATCTACCGAACCTTGTTCACTTCACTCTGACATGGTTTGTACTTGCACCGAATAGAAAATATACACAGGTTATAAATGCAACTAAAATATTAAAGCACCAAAGAATCTCCCCCCCCCCGGTACCCTCCACTCTCCACTCAGGAAATGTTTGTATACGGTACACAGGACCAGCGCTAGCTAGAATCCCTGTGTGAGTGTTTGGACCCTGAGTCTACAGGATGTGGGTGTTCTGCACTCTGACATTAGTGAATACTCTTTAAGGCTCATTTCTCAACGACACATTGTGGGGATATCAATGAAGCAACACACCCTGACACAGCTGATGAAACCCCGTCCAATTACTACATCACTTCCTGTTGTAATGTCCTCCCCGAGTGGAACGCCAACAACAGGAAGTGCCCATCTATAATTCACTCCCTTCTGCTCTGACCTGAGTGAAGTTGACCCCCACCTCAAACGTTTGTGCAGCAAAAATTATCATTTGTGCCGATATCATTTTAAAGATATTAAGAAATGTTTCCAGGGGTCACGAAAGGTCAACTAGCACCTGCACCTCCCCTTTCTTCAAATTGTGTCAATCAACTCGACTACATTTGTGCTGGTTTGCAAAGACTTTTGTTTGTGCTGCTTTGGCTTTGAAGATATTAATGAAAGTTTAATTTTATTTTGATTTAGTAAAAGTAGGGGAGAAGAGGAGCTGGTTGACCTTTTGACCTTTAAACTTTCATTAATATCTTCAAAGCCAAAGCAGCATAAACAAAAACTTTAGCTGCACAAACCAGCACAAATGTAGTCGAGTTGATGGACACCAGTTTTGTCTGATTTGAAGAAGTTGGGGTGGGGGGGCGACTTCACTCAGCTTCTGCTCTACTTGTATTCAAACTTTCTCATCTTCTTTTTGTGATCTGGAAAGAATCCACAAAGATGTAGAACCTGAAACAGTTCTGGACCTCTACAAAAAAAAAGAAAGAAAACACTTCTTATGTATACACATATGTGAAATGATGGATTCAAAGTACCTATAAAACTATGCAAGGAAGAGAAAGAATTCCAGTGATAATGTACATAAAAATATTTTTTTTTCATGGATTCTTCCTGGAAAAAGAAAAAACAACAAAAAAAAAACAGTCTGAAATGTCCCTGCGTGGATGAAAGTTAAGGGCACAGATATATGTGAGCAGCTGAGGTAGAGTGCACAAAGCCGGGGCTGACGAAGGGTGCAGAAGGTAGTCCGGCAGAGATAGCCTTCCCTGCAGCGGACGGGCAGTGTCTGGAGTCCTCCATTTCCAGATGCTCAGGTTTCAGCATCGGCCTCGGAGTCTTAGGAGAGTGGAAACCATTGGTGAGGCGTGTGTCCGGCTGAGGCTCCCTGTCGCCATTCTGCTGTCGCCTGGTGCCTTCTGCCTCCTCACTGTGACGAGCCGTCAATGTTCTTGAGGGAAGACTCGGGGGACTTTCAGCTGCCGAAAGGTTTTGGAGGTGCTCCACCTCTTCTCTCGGTGAACTCGGCCGACTCAGAGGGGAATACAGGTCCTCTGATAACGACGGCCCCCGGGTGGCGTTAGAATCCCGCTCGCTGCCCTCCTCCTTCTCCCTCCCACTGGGGTCTGACAACTCAGAGTGCACAATGACTTCTGCCTCCACCTGGTTACTGCACAGAGACGTGGAGAGATGATCATCTGTTTCCTGCAACACAATGAGGCTGCTGTTATTTTTAGGACTTTCAGCTGGCGATTCTCTTGAACCGTTTGTAAAGGTGACCTATTGCGTTCCTTGAACAAGTTAGGATAGGTCCATTTAGCTTAAACAAAACATTGTTCATTGCATTTTCTCGCATAAAAAATTTTAACGTTTGAGTGTAAACTCAAATGTTAACTCTCAAATGTGAAAAAGCCTGCACACAGATATGCAATTATACAACCTTATATCTTTGAAAAGCAAAAGTAGAGCCTCCTGCACAGCCAACAAGAATGCAGCCAGTGGTTTCTGAACGTTAAGTCAATAGCACCTTATATTTTCCAGCGGCCATTGTATAGCGTATACAGCAGTAAAACCAGCTAGCCAAACGTGCTGGAGCTCCACTTGGGTTGCTTAGTAACGGGTTGAACTTTGCTGGGTGTTTATTTCTTTTTAAGTGCTCCGGTTTGGAAGCAGTAGAAACCCAAATGAAAGTACAGAAACGTCCAAAATGCTAATTTTCCTAATACCTCCGTTTAAACACATCCTACCAAAAGTTGATATGGATTCAGATCAAACCGTTTATCACTAGTATTAGACTCAACAAGAAACTGTAGCTCGTTGGATTATGCCTCTAGCTTTAAAAAGCGATTCATATGGGAATACTCCAATACGCTTGACCCAAAATGTTGCACAAATGGAGTTAGAGGTATAAAAGTACGCAAAATTCACAGTTTGACATGTGAATTTTGGGTTAGGGTTTTTTGCAAGATATAAATTAATAAATAATAAATTGTGCAAGAAGTAAAACGACGCTTCAGCCTTTGATGCAAACGCAACAAAAAAAATGCAGAAAAACATACGTAGAGAGTGTAGAGCTGTTTTATCACAAGCAAGTTAGCCAACCAGCTGGAATTCCAAATGCTGGAATTCCAAAAGTGCTTCAAGACTGCATTGTGAAGGAGTCACAAAACCCCTAACATTTTAACCGGGGCGACTATAAATTAGCTTCAACGTGCTTTATTAAAGGAAAAGTGTCATAGGCGATGTGGTTGAGATGGTGAGGAAACGCAGGTAGACCCAGGTAAAATGAGAATGATGAATTTAATAATGTAGCTCACAGTCTTGAACAGGCAGCACGGCAGAAAGTTAGCACACAGCTAATACCGGTAGCAACTGGATAACAGACATGTAAACGAGCTTAGGTCGATGCAGGACTTCACAGTTCAACTGCGTATGACCCATAAACAGACGTAGACTGATGGCACAGGGAAACAGTTACAAATGACGAGGATCTGACAACAGGTGGGGCTAAATACACACAGGGTAATCAGGGGGATACGACACACCTGGGGAGCAATCAACAGGGAGGACAGAGACTCACAGGGAACAGGACTACACAGGGAAAACAGGACTGAACACAGAAGAACTCAAAAATAAACACACAGAAACCCAGATCATGACAAAAAGAAGCAATTAAGATCAAAATCATTACCAGTAATAGTTGGATTTGCCCCTTGACATGAACATAATTATACATATTTTTTTTTCCTTTCTTTCTTCGGTACCAACCTTGTCCTCAACCTTTTCAGCCGTATAAAATGACATCTTGTGCATGTTTATTACCACCTCGTTAATGTCAGACATCTGAATGGATTAAAATGTTAATTAACTGGATTGCTGGCTGCAAATGTATATACAAATCTGATGCCAAGAGAAGAAAAATAAACAGGTGCTTTTCTTCACTGTTGAATTGTGAGTGTGAGAACTAAAAAGCAATTAGTATGAAGAAAAAAACACCCACATGAATAAATTGAAAAAAATAGATTACTGCTGTGATGGCCAGTCATAAAACACGTGTGACCTCACTAAGAAAGGACAAAAATATTAAAGGAGAAAGAAAAAATAAGAAAAAAATAAAATTATAATCATCATAAAGAATCTGCTGACAATAAAACATTATTTTTTGTCTGCTTTGAAGCTGCAAAAAATATGTTTCCATGTTCAATCCCAGACAAACTCTTTCTTGAAAAGAGGAAAACTGACATGTTGACACGCTTTAACAAAAAGGAAGAGGCTCATAATTGAAACATAAAAGTCAGTGTGCATCACTGGTTGCGTTACCATGCCGGTCGCAGTAATGAACATGCTGAGCGCTCCATTAATCAGCGCTGGAGACTCGTCTGTTATGGTGTCTCTGTATCGTGTGATCCTGTTGACCCAGTTATGACTCACAGAGCCATTCCAAGCAATCTGCGAGAGAAACAGCATATCAGAGGCTTCAAAGTGAGAATAGTCACTTTATCGACGCATAAAAAAAAAAAAAGAAAAACTACGTAAAGAGCTTCCCCCCTCCCACTCCCCCCGCCTCCCCTTAAAGGTTTTGACCTTCGGTTCAGGTGCAGGAGCATCGTCCCCTTCCCCCCGGATTAGAACTTGCCATCAGACTCTGTTCCTCCGGGTCTTTTGTCGGCTGCTGACCCGACTCCTGGGTGCCTGAAGGCATCAGCGTCTCCAGTTCGTGGCTATCGCTGCACTCGGGCCCACTGGCTGGAGCAGGGCAGCCGCCTTTCCTGCACTGAGGAGTCACGGCTGTGGAGCTCAGGCCTCCAGACAGCTCTCTGTGAGGGGTTGGAATCTGACCGTTAGACAAGGAGACCAACACTTTGGAGGCAGGTACAGGATGGCCAAAAAAAAAAAAAAATACAAAGACAACAAGAGATTTACAAACGTTAAAGAGGATTTCATATGACAGTACATTTTAACTCCTGATTCACACATTGGAGGAATCGCAACAGGGAGGGCTTTAGAGAACAGAGGAAGATTAAAAGGTTTCCAGGAAATTAGAGACAACTACTTGAATAATCGTGAATTATTTAGATATCTATAAGCAAGAGATTATTACAATAAAGAATTCATAAAAACACTGGACTAAGGAGAATCTCATGATGTTTTACTTAACTGTGCAACAACAATCCAATGACAATTACCATGAATTAACAAAGACTAACACTCACTCAAGTGACGATGTAAAAGAAAAGATGGAGAGAGAAATAAATACTGAAATAATAAACAGGGGCACAGCAATGTATGTGAAAAAATATCAAAGTGGAGGGAATTCTTATGGAAAACTCACTCCGCTAAGTTAAGAGTACATTTTTCAACAGGAGCCTTCTATGTTGATCAACATGTAAAATGACTGATAATGCCCATGATCATATATCCAAGACATGTTCAAAGATAAAACTGTTTTAGTAAGATGTCAAAAAAACAAAAAAATTGGACAAAAAACCCCAAAAACCTCTTGCATATAATTTGCTTTTGAATGTTTCTTTATTGAAGGAATGATACATAGTTAGTTGAAATTCTAACGAAGACTTGCTATAACAAAGAAACAGGGAGAAGCAGAGACTCTAAACTGATGGGCTGGAATTAACGAACAAATCTACATAATGGAGAAACTGACAGGACTGTAAGAGGAAGAAGAGGAATCCGCTGTCTGAGCCAAGTTGATGTTCCAACCAAGAGCCTCTCACACAATTTTTTTTCTACGTTAAAAATCACAGATTCAGGAGGAAGAGCAGAGCTGCTTGACCTCCCGAGCAACGCTTTTATAACTGTCTTATGCAATATTAAAATCTCTGAAGGAAATGACTTTTATGATTTCATCTACTAAAACCCATAATTATCGAAGCTACCAGAAATAAACGCTTCTAGCATATCTTTCTAAAGAGCTGTCAAATACAGGAGTTTCCCTTATTTTTAACTGGATCACCGAAATACCCTTTTAGTTGGGCTAAAATGTATCAAGATCCACCTTTAGGCTGTTCTTAGGGATTGTAACTAAAATAGAAAACATGCGTAGAGCGTAAACACTGACCTGGGTTTGCTGTTTCGAAAGCTGAAACACATACAGAGGAGGATACAAATAAGTCCCAAGCAAACACCGACTATGATGCCTGTGACTGCATGAATGTCCAGCTCTGGCAAAACAGGCAAAGCAGAAAAAAATTAAGATGTCTATTAGGATAAACATACAAATTTTACAACAGAAGGACAAAAACAGATGGCAGGAAAACTCAGCCACCCACCCGTCTCCAGTTCCATTCACAGTGGCACACGCAAACAAGATAACGTGTTGCTCTGTTCACTCGAAAAGTTTCAAAGTAAAAGGTAAGGAAAAGTGAAAGGTCATTTTGTTTGTTAGACAGTTTATATGGTCCTGGTTCAACGCTTGCATAAAGTATTCAAACGTTCTCATTGATGTTTTATGTGATGGAGCGAAGCACAAAGAAGTGCACGATTCTCAATTGTTTCACAAATAACAGAAAATTTGCACGAGAGAGTTTCTAGGACAGAATATTATAATGTACCAGTTCAAGCTCAGACATATTGGATGGAAAACACCTCTGAACATTAAACTTCAAGTCTTGCCCCAAACTCTCACTCAGCTTTGAGTTTGTACTTTTGACTAAGGACTCATGATGTGTCTGCATTAACATTTGTATCGTTATCGATAACTAGAACTGGGCCGACTTCAATGTTCATCTCCGTTTGTGTTTCAGGAAGCAGAGTGGAGGAGGTTGGTCATGTGGCAGTGACAGTGATGCCACATGACTGTGGGGCGTTTAGCTGAAGCAGAGAAGCAGTATTCATACCGTACGTGGGCAGCGGAGTCTGAATATCCACAACGGGTGAAAAAGGCCCTGATCCCACTTTTGTGGAAGCTCCCACTTTAAAGAAGTACCGAGTTCCCCCTGACAAACCGCGGACCTCCACACTAAAGATGCCCCCTGAGGAAGAGAACACGAGCGACACCAGCTGTGACACAAAGAGCTGCGTCCAGTATCTCGACTATGAACATGTTTCAACGCGCAATCGTTACTAGAGAACATACCATCCTCAGAGAGATTCCTCCACTCGTCTTCAGGCTCGCTCAGGTTGACGGTGTACAAGATCCTGTAGCTGACGATGATGCCATTTGGCTCCAGCGGAGGGCGCCAGCTCACCAGCACAGACGAGGAGTTCAGAGCTCTCAGCTGCAGCTCCTCAGGTGGTGTGGACGGCCCTGAGGGAGACAGGAGGATCAGGTAAGTCATCAGAGCCCAGAAACAAGGCCTCACACAGCTGGGGGGTGTTTATTGTCTTGGTGAGGGATTTGACTCGCCGTGCGACAGCCATATGTGTCCTCATGTCCCTGCCACCTGGGTACAAGAGAGGATATACTGTGAGGGCAATAGGGGGGAGAGGCTTAGGCGATGACGCACGTTGGAGGAGAATGTGAAGAGGTTAGCCGGCGCTATGACGACATAACCCCACCCCTCATTCAAATTCAGCAAACAGGGGCCATTGGCCATTTCCACGCCTGAGCGCTTAATTAGTCAGCCAGTTATTAGCAACCGCTGCCAAACGCAAATCTCCATCTGATCAGTTCATTTATTGGTTTGCTATCTGCACGTAATTACTTCCACATATAACATGATCCATCAAACTGCCAGAGGTACACACAGTGCAGATTATTCAGGCCTCAAAAAAAAAAAAAAAGAGCAAGATGAACTTTTCTTTTACTGGAACAGAAAAAAAGATGAACTTCAAAAAAAAAGAAAAAAAGAAAAAAGAAACACTCACCGACTGTCACTTGCTGCTTCTCAGCAAGAAACATTATCAACTAAATTTCTTTAATCAACTCACTCAAAGGAAGCTGTGGATGAGTGTTGGAGTCAAAGAGAGCCAAAAGAAAAAAAAAATTAAAATAAAGAGCTGAGACTTTTTTTTTTAATTAATTTTTCCACCAAGTGCATGCAAGACAGATCATACTTGTCGTATTTGTTCTGCTCTGAGGATACTCACGGTCAGGCAGGGTGGCCTCCACCACGGTGCTGCTGAAGGGTCCTGCAATGTTCACTCCATTAGACCGCACTGCCAGTTCATAGTGGGTAAAAGGCCTCAGTCCCCTGAGCAGGATCTCCAAAGAAGAACTGCAGAACATCAACCAGTCAGTCAACGACCGTACCATGTGCTTTGCACAGCTTTCATGTTTTCTCTCCTCACACAAAACCTTAAATGAATTCTATTCTATATTTGTTGTTGGGATTCCTATGGAGCATTTTATTTGGCCAAAAATAAGCCTGAACAATGTCTACATGATTTATGGACATCTAGGATAGAGCTGAGTGACATTTGGTGGAAAAGGTTGTTTAGAATGAGTTCAGATGATCCTTAGAACCCAAAGGATGCATTTCTGCCAGCCCGGTGAAGTTTGCTTTAATCAAAACTAATTTATTTGTCTAAAAACTCTGGTTTGTTTGGGGAGGTGTGAATGCACACTCAAAGTCTGATGCAGACTAAAAAAGCAAACTCTGGCCTGACTAAAAACAGAGGTCTCGGTACATGCTGCCCAGTGGAATAACTGCTTTTTCAAACACATTTGGACATATAAAAATTGTAACCTTTATTTTAACAATACTGAAAACTGTTTCAGACACTCATCCTGATCTTCCCACCTGGTGTAATAAGAGACCAGAGAGGCGTTGGTGGTTCCTGCTGGGCTGCAGCGCACTGTGTAGTTGATGATGCGCACGTTGATGAACCGAGGTTTCTCCCATCGGAGCCAGACGGAGGTGGAGCTGTTGGCCGTAGCTTGGACGCTGCTGGGCGGCAGCGGAGGAGACGAGGACGGCCCAGAAGCTGCAACACAAGCATGCGATCAACTCCATGGAACGCCAGAAAGTGCAAATGTTATTCTGGCGCCATCGACATGGAGACGACACGTCGGGTTCTTTTACTGTTTAGAGATGCATGCCTCTAAAGGAAGTCTTACGTCTTCCATGGATCTTATCCGTCCTTCCCTTCCACACTGCAGCTGCTCCATCTTTTTGCTTGTCGAATGCCCAGACCCTCACCTCATACTGCCGGTCAGGAACTAATAAAACGCAGAAGAAACACCCAGAGAGACGTACTTTAAAGTAGTGTTGCATTTTCTCTGACCGATACGAGACGAACGTACAAAGATCTGTCAAAAACGGCGTATTGTTAGATTTTAGAAACGATTAACATCTTACCGAGCCCCGTCAGCAGGTGATGCCTCGCCTTCTTCCGAAGCCTGATGGTGTGTGTGTGCGGCGTTCTGTCTCTGGTGGTGAACCTGTCGGTTTCTGCTTCCCGATAGGAGAGCTTGTAGCCAGAAACCAGCGTGTGATTTGGTGAGGGTTGCCATGTCACATTCAGAGTGGTCACTCTGGTTCTGACCTTCAGCTCAGAAGGAGCAAAAATCACTGGAAAAAGATTTTATTTATAAAAACAAGTGAAGATTAGCCCATTACAACACTTTCCCCCTTCAACTCAGCTTGTTGAAATATGCTAGTACAACTTTTAAAATATATCATTTTGATTTTTACATTATTTGTGTGATCGGTTTGAGCCAAAATCAAGATTAAATTATGAATTTGGTTAACTGCTCAGCCCCGTTATGGTGTTTATCATCTTCTGGTTGACAACAGTTTTTTAACTGAGTTTAGGTCAGGTGAGATTGCTGTCCACTCAAGCTTAGTGATAAAGTACATTATAATTTTCCAGAGGGACCAGGTGCCAAATCTAGTTAGAAAATAAAAATAAAGAGTTTGAAGCATGAAGTGCTCTCAAACCTCCTGGTAGATGGACAAACTAACATTATTCAAACACTGTTTTCATTTATTGCCATAATCCAAACTGTTTCTTTAGTTTTTTTTGAGTATTAACAGGTATGAGCCTCTAAACTGAGGTAATATTTAATATTTAAAAGCCTTCTGTGTGACACGTTGCCTACTTTTTGTTTTCAAAATGACGTACGAAGTAATTATCGTATCGCAAATGGGGACACGAGTGAGCCACGCAGTCTCTTACCTGTGCTGTTGTCACTGGGGCCGCTGCGAACTACTGTCTGCTGCTGGACCCACTCAGACGGAACGCCGAAGCCCACAGCGGTTCCAGCTGCTATCCTCAGTCGGTAAACCTGGTTTGGGCGCAGCTCCCTGAGCGTGAACTGAGTCTCGTTGCCTCTCAGCTCCACTGAGAACACAGTGTCCTCTGTTGAAAACAAAGAGCACAGAGCACAGAGCCACAGGGGCTTTTGAAAGAGAAAGTGGACAGGTAATGTTTTTTTTTTTTTTTTTTTTTTTTCCATTATTGTCTTGCAACAATGGAAAAAATTCTATTTTAGAGAATTTTGCAAATTATTTCTAAAATAGATGTGCTGTTTCTGCTTTATATTATCTACGGAAAATTGTTACGGAAATAAACTCCACAGAGAATTGGGCTGATAAAACTAACCAACCTGTAACAAGCAGACGTTGGTTTAATTGTTATTGTTCTGCATCTCAGAAAAAATAAAAAAATAAAAAATCTTCCACTGGATAGGGCTTGCATTGTTCCAGATATGGACATGGTTGTCTGGAAATATGTTAGGAGATTTATGATGAAGTATGAATTTTTAATGGAAATGTTTATAGTACCATCTATAGGCAGAAGTTATTCTAATGGCAACACTTTTAATGAGTTACTTACGGTGTGGTCGATGTGTGGTGGGACCAAGAGTGATTTTAATTTCATGTCTTATTTCACCGCAATTGTTAAATTATGTTTTTTTCTTTGACACTAACATCATTTGTAATGGAAACACAACAATAAGGCAAATTCATTTTAATTTGATCAATATTAGTTTTAAATAATATTAAGGTGTAAACACTGTTCTGAAAATTCTTAACTCTTGACATGCTAAGAGTTCATGTGAGAGGGCGGGGTCTCAGGGACGGACTCGGTAGGTCGGGCTTTGGACCCGTACATAACTTCCTGCAGTTCTAATTATTATTGCTACGTTCCACAGATTAGTTTTCAGTAATTCTCAGTGGGTCACAAAAAAGTGCCGAGCTCGTCAATCAGTGAAGATTACTCACTCTGATCCAGCGCACTGTAATCGACGCGGTAGCGGGTAACGGCCCCTCGGCTGTGCTGGGAAGTCAGCGGCTGCCACACCAGCCTGATGTCAGTGGGGGACGTGCTGGCGACGGAGAGCTGAGGAGGTGCGCTAGGAACTACAAGCGGAAAGGAGGAGACAAGCCAAGCTAATTGCCGTGCACAGTAAGACAAAAAACGTTGATAGAGTTTGACAACACAGCAGTGTTTAAAAAAAAAAAAAGAAAGAAAAAAAGATCCATTTGTAGAAGCAAAATGAAACTGAAAAACAGAATGTGAACTTGATTTTGCCAGTGAGGTAAAATTGAAAGCATTTTTGCATGGGCAGCACTGATTATTTGCGAAGACCTGCAGCCGAACATGTGTTCCCAAACCCGGTTAAACTGGCTAATCGCTGTCCACCTCTGAGTAGACCTGAATCACTCAGATGCAGCTGAAACACAAACACGCCTTAAAACATGCAGGATGAAACGCAGCTTTTCAGTCCGAGCACAGAATGACCTTACTTTGTAATTCTTTGCTTCATTTATGAGTTTAGTTTAATTTGCCTTTTATGAAGGCTGAAGTACTCACCGTCCTCAAGCATCTCTATGGTTATAGGCAGCGATGGAGGACTGGCTCCCATGGGCGAATACGCCACCACAAAGAAAGTGTAGGCAGTATGGGGGAGGAGCTCTTTGACGAGATACTCTGTGGTGTCGTTGCTAACTGCAAACGAAGAGTCCTGAATATCTGACCCTAAAAAGAATGAAATTCATATCAAATATGTGGATTTTTCTTTATTTTTGATTTTTTTTTTTTAGCTCCTTACCACATCCTCTTAAAAACACCAAACCTGCAGTGAATTGGTAGTGCACGGAGTAGGCAATGATTTGGTCTGTGTTGTATTCGGGTTTCTCCCAGGAGAGCAGGGCTGTTGTGCTGGAGTGCGGCGTAGCAGTCAGGTGGCGAGGGAGGCTGGGGAGACCTTCCTTCACGATGACCGTCAGCCTGGCCGTGGCGCAGGCTGTCCCGAGCCCGTTTTCAGCGATGCACTGATAGTAGCCCGCGTCCTCCAGAGCCAGCTGGTTGATGAGCAGGACCCCAGGGCTTTGCACCTTCATCCGCCTGAAGGACCTAATGGGCTGGCCGTTCTTCAGCCAGTGCAGCACTGGGAATGGCTCCCCAGAACTGTTGCACAGAAACCTGGCGGTGTTCCCCCTGGAGAGGGACACAGACTCCGGGGAGTGCACAATCACCGGAGGGGCTGTTCAAAGAAGAAAGTGGAAAATCCTTCAGAGTTGCAGCTCAAATCCAGACTGCAGTTTTAAAGAAGAGCTTAGAAACCCTTGTTATGCACACACACACATAAAATAATTTATTATTTTGCATTACACTCTTTCAAAATATCATGCTTACTTGTTTGGGACAAAGATGCATTTTTGAAAATTTCCCCATTTAATTCATGTTTTAAATTACATTAGGCCTTTAATACTGTGAAGATGTTGATGGTGACTATCCTCACTCAATCAGCTCTCAGAAATGTCTCAAGGTAAAAGTCAGCATATACAGTAAATGATGGTGTAACATTACTCTTACCAGCAACGTGCAGCTCAGCAGCAGCAAAGACAAACTCTCTAGTTTTGGGCTTGTTGGCTCGGCAGACGTAGACGCCGGCATGGTGACGCCTCGTGTCCCTAATCACCAGGTTTGTTGCCAGGACGATCACGTCTGTGGAAATGGGCTTTCCGTCTGATCAAAAAAAGAGAAAGCGATGTGGAGGGTCAGCACAGAGAAACTGCTGCTGGTAACTGACAGGAGCAGAGGTCTTTATTTCAGTCTTACAAATGCCAGAGAAATGTTACGAAAGGAAATACTTTGAAGAACACAGGACATCGGATCGGATGGGCTAGGGTTAGGTTTGGGTGCTTAAGGTTTAATTTGGTTTTGGCGTTAAGGAAAGGTCTAGCAGGGACTGAAGCCTCGGGGCATTGAATGACACTAAGCGGACTAGACGGGTAGCACCAGAAGCTGTGAATAAAATACATTTCCACTCACTTCCAAAGTGAGTGGAAATCTTTGAAAGTCCTACCTTGTCTGCTCCATGACACCAGTGGTTTTGGCTGGCCTTGTGCCACACACTCCATCACAGCAGGATGGCCGAGCACCACCGTGGCATTCTGGGGTGGCGCAACAATCACAACTGGGCCTGGGCTGTCAATGGAGCCTGTAACAACACAATAGTTTATCTAGTTTATATACTTTGGATGAACATTATTATACCACTTTTTAGACTCCTGTTCTTCCAACCCAGAAATGAAATTAGACCAGAGAATACTTAGCAACCCTGAACAGGAGCCCCTAGTTTAGATCATTAGATTCTTCTGCTCTTTCCTTTGATTTGTTATTTTCATTTGTATTTCCTTTTAATTCCTGCAAAGCACTTTGTATAACCTTGTTGCTGAAAATGTGCTATATAAATAAAATTACCTTTACCTTTAACATCGGAGTACACTTCAATATAAGTATTGCAAAGACAAGATCTTATGCTTTAAATTTGGTGTAAAATGTTTGTAATGTTTCAGTCTAGAACTGCTAACGTAATCTAATTTAATATTTCTTTCCACTGGACATGTGAGTGATAACAAAAGACTTCTTCATTCAAAATTATGTACTTGCAACGTAGCTCAACAGATTCAATGAGCCACTACCCGAAAGGCTGAAACAGGAGGTGGTGTGTTAGTGACGATGACACCTGATAGTGCAGAGTATTTGGCCAGAAGGTCGAGCCGAAGAGAAGATTGAACAGAAGAATAAGGCTTTTCAAGGGCCCCAAAAGGTAAACCATTATATCAGGTCATAGAACAGTTTCAGTTGCCGTTAGCGACAAAGATTGCTATTCAACGAAAAATGTCTTCATGGGTTTAATAAGCGCTCGTTTCTTGATCACAGCAAAGTTGCTGAGGTCCAGCAAGTGTTAATGAAAGGAATAATCTCAGCAAAAACGGTCTCGCATACTGTAAACACATTACGCATTAATCATTAACATTATGTGCAGCAAACCTTGGTGATGCAAAAGGCTTTAAGTGGGTCATGCTGCCTTTGCAACAACTTTCTAGCAGAGGGTGCCTACAAAGTGATGGATCTGATAGGTGTGGGTGTAGTGCACTGCCAAAAATAGAAGCCGTAGCAGAAAACAGACTGGAGAAAAACAATAAAACCTCTGGCAGTGCCTGTTAATGTCTTAGGTTTTCCTCAGCTTCTGAGGTATTTCCGTCTATTACTTCAACACAAAACTGCTGAAGCGTTCCTGTGGGCGTTGAGCTATTCCATTCATGGCGCTGAAACGGAGAGGCGATAGCATTAAATCTGACAGAGGCCTAATGTAAACAGACAGCGTTGCCAAGTGCCTCCATAACGTTTTGAAAGCAGCGAGCCATTTTCCAGGAAAACCTGAAAACATGACCTCTCTGCAGTTGCAGATGAAGAGGTGCATTGATTTATGCAAGTCAAAGCACTAAATGCTGAACAAATCTCTGAAAGGCACAGAGTGTACGAGTGTTTTCAACACTCTATTCCAAATCACGCTATTGATTTTGCCTCAGTTTAAGGCAAAGGAAATCAACACTATTGTCCCTGTGACAGAAAAAGCAACAGAAACATGCCTCTATGTCTACCGGACTGCGGCACTTAATTTAAGGAAGTGTCTTAGTAGCTTTAAAATGTACCTCTCAACATATCTCAAGCATCTGCAGTTTGCATATTTTGTCAGCCTTTGCAAAAATGATGCAGTCAACAACAGCAAGCCGTATTTATGTGCCGCTTTATCCCACCTACAGCAGAACTAACTTGGAGAGCAAAATCAGCTGTGCTGCCATGATTCTGTTTTTGTTTTTTTTGTTTTTTGTCACCTAAGAGTTCAACACATTCTCACTTTGTAACTTGATTTTAGAGTTACACTCAGTCAAGTCAATCAAAAATATCCCTGAGTTCCTCAGGGATGTGTGCTCAGTTCTTTGCTCTTTACTCTGCTGACAAATGACTGAACTCCCCTAATTTGCCACAAATCAACTCTTCAGTAATGGAAAAGATACAACTGTGGTTTGACTCATCAGCAACACTATGTGGACGAGTGACTGGTCTTTACTGGCAAATGTCCTTTTTATGTACTTATATTTTAAAAGCCTTTGCTGGGAGAACAGATGTCAAATTCCTTGTTTTGTGTGCACAACCTTGCAGCTGATTCTGACATATTTGGAGTTATTTTTTTCTGTCTGGAGTGATTTTTCCCCTAGAAATCTCACGGGGAACTCCACCCTTACTGAGGTGAGAAAGGCACGTACTGCTTTAGTTATTGTTCTGGGGTGTTTTCAACCTTGTGGATGCATTATTGTAATATTTCTTTAGGCTGGCCACACCAGGAAGGTTCACTCCGATCTAATGTTTTCTTTATTTGTTGCTGTCACTGTTCTTTGAAGGAATCGCAAAGTTGTAGAAATGTCTTCGCAATCCTTTGTGAACTAATAGATGTGATTTATATTGTTTCTTGACGTCTTTGAGATTTTGACGTCTTCCTCTTTGCCCCTCAGGCTGAATCTATTTAAAGGGAATGGTTGATTGTGTGAGTCAGGCAGTGATCAGGCTTTGGTGTGACTAGTGTAAGTCATTCAATTAATGTTTTTAGTCACGAAGGCAATCACATTTCACTCAGGGCCAGGTTGGCTTGGATAACTTCCTTTCCATTTAATAAATACGATCATCACCCATGGTGTTTTTTGTATGTTTAATATTTACTTTGGTACATTTTGAAACACTTGAGTGAGGCCAAAAAGCAAAAAAAAAAAAAAAAAGTTACAATTTGTTTTAAACATCAACCTTTATTGTGAAAGCCAATAGTTCACTCAATTGAATAACAATAGGAGACTGAGATCTTCAATAAGAAGAAAAAGCCAACAACCTGACAGAAGATGAATGTTGCCAATGAACCCTGGCAGAATAAAGACTTCTGCATATTTCAAGCAAAGTAGTGTTGAAGGACAAGCACTTAAGATGTAAATGACTCCTGTATGTAACAGGATTCATTTACATTGAAGGTAAAGCTTTACAAATGAAATGTTTTTGATAAGAGACCATGCATCAATAAGTCATTTGTCAAATAACTTGATTTTAAACCCCCCAAAATTATATTATATATAAATGTAGCTAATAATCTTCTGCTTAAAATCGAACAGAAGTAGCCACGGCTTCAAATGCAAGGAAGTTGATCAAGTGTAAAAGGAATCAATAGCATTTTAAGTGGAATATGTTAAAACTTTGACAAAGAGCAATCAATGCCCTTTGACTTCTCCGCCTGCTCCAGTTTTGGACATAGCTGAAGAAACCCAGCAAGTAACACTACCCTCAGGAAACTCCTGACGCTCAAGTTCTTGGAATACTTTAGCTGATGGTCAACAACTCTCTATGGTATCGTCTGACCCGCGTAGGTATAGAAATAGATTCTTCCATGTCCAGAGGGTTCGTATTTGAGGCAGCTGAAGCAAGAACAATTTGTTAGACTTTGGATGAGCTAAATTAAGAAGTTCCTCAATCAAAATTGGGTGTCTGTTATTAGCCCTTAAGTTGTCTCAATTAATCATTATTATAGTGACGTGAAATGATACATTTCAGTTTAGTTGGGGTGCGTTCACACTGCAGCCTGAAGTGACCCTATTCCGATTTTTTTGCCAGGGCCGTTCACACTGCCAGTAAATGCGACCTGTATGCGTTCTGTACGGGCAAACGACCTGAAAGTGTCCCGCATGCACACTAGAGGGCGCAATAGCATCAGCGTTCTCAGTGTTCTGCCAACCGCCATAAAAAGAAGAAGTGCTCAGTGTTTGAGGAAGTAAACATGGAGGCTAACAGTGGAGCATAGCTTACATATTTGAAGTTGTTGTCCAACCGGAGCAACATATTAACAACATAATCCTCATATAGTCTGTTGTGTTTGCTGTTTTTCTTCCCGCTTGCGTGTATCAGGACGCAAAATAGTGAGATTTGTTGAGAATCAGTGACATTCAGTTCGGATGAAGGCTACCTGGACGTTAGGTCGCATTTGAATTGGATACGTATCGGATATGGGTCACATTCGAAAAAGAATCCGACCTGTGCTGTTCACACTGCCATGAAAAGATCGGATACAGGTTGCATTACTTCAAAAAAATCGGAATTGGGTCACTTCAGGGTGCAGTGTGAATGCACCCTTAGACTCACCAAATGTAGTCGTATGCAAGGTTTTTAAAACACATTCTTCAACAGGAGACATTTGCACACATTTCCTTGTTATTTGATAGTGTCGTCATTAAGCGACTTTACAACTAAATTGCAAATATAATTAGGGTCACTTTCAATTGGAAGGTCCCTGCCCAAGTTTAAAATTTCTGAATGATGTTTTTAGATATCATTTCAATATTTCTACATTATGATCGGTGAAACAACTTTGGTAATTGTCACCAGCTGAAAACAGGACATGCTTAGTCTGAATTCATGTAAAATTGTGTGTGCCTATTTTGATCAAACATATGCAAATACATCCGGTTTGACCTGCATGAGGTATCAAATTACATCAAACTGATTTACTTGAACTAATCTTTTTTAAACGCTCAGGTATTTCAAAAATCATATCCCCTGGTAACAGATACTACAACACACAGCTACCCTATTGGATAAGGATATCACGCTCCCTGAATAATAAAGCCAATACGTAGTTAATAATTGTATTGTCAGCATGCAACCTTTCGTGTAGTGCCACATTAATGTGATTTGCTTAGATGGATGACCTCCCTGTTGCCACAGTGTGAAACCAGAGGGCAGCTCTCTGAGGATCCGCTGAAGGTGAACAACAATCCTGAGTCACCTTGAGACGCAGAGCGCCGAGGATATGAAATGTCACTGAAACCGACACAGAGTTGATGTTCAGCCTGTTCAAGGAATAATATGGAGACTCAAACATTGCATTTTTAGTAGCTCAGCAGTTTTATTGATCAGTTATATTGACAATAATTGATATATCTGTCAGAAGTAACTCTCACATGAGGTTAGACATGATATCCAATAGGCAGATAGTTTCCAGCAAGTGCTGACTGATAATTTTGTATTCTTAGTATGGTTTTCTCCCCCTTCTTTCCTTGATTCTGTCGCCTCCCTTGCTGTGCTTTTGATTGTGTCTGAGACTTACTTGATTCTGGTCATCTTATTTAGCTGCAGCCTAAAATGAGCAGCATGACTCTCCAGCGGTGCCTGATTGTCCCACTTGGTCAAGCTGCCCTAGCTCTCATGAATGCAATATTTCAACAGGGCATATTTTTTACAAGCTACGTTTCTTACAGTAGCTTGTAACTCCTTTCGCTCTATTCACCTTCCTGGATTTTACCCAAGGACACTTAAAAGGAAAAAAATAAAGCTCCACTTGAACCAGGTTTCCTATGGAAACACGACAAAGCAGAGCAGCAGACCTCACCTGTCGTGACAATGAGTCTAGCTTCGCTGCTGACGTTCTTCCTGGCAGAATTGGATGCAACACAACGGTAGAGGCCCTCATCCTCTTTAGTCACCTTCAGAATCTGCAGCACCCCATTAGGAAGAGAAATGAACCTGTTGCTCCAAAGGGAAAGCAAACAAAGAAAAAAAAAGAGAGAGAATACAATAAATGACTTAGTACAGTGATCCATGAAGCAGCAGGCTGATGAACTCTACTGTTTTGTAGTCTTCCAAATTGGTTTTTCATGTAATAGAGATTTGACCTGACAGGACTTCAGTTACTAGCTGTACACTAAAACAGACCTAACTGTGTGTGCTGGTCTCTCTTTTCTGGTGAAACAACCCTAACACACTGACACATGGACATGAAGCTGTACTGTGATATTAGGCAACAAGATGTTAGCACGTTTCTCCAATGAGTCCCATTGGATTGATACCAGGGGGAAAACAAAGGATGATTGAAGACCTCCAACAAGTTGTGCTTCTAATTAAACCATTTTTCCCCCTTTTTGCCAGGGTACCTTATCTTGTTGAACAAGGCTGTCTGTGAATGTCGTTTGAATGATAGGATGCGCATGATGTGCAATGCAATGGATTGAAACAGTCATGGAGTCCCAGCGTCACTCTACCTCTGCGGGCTTAACCTTCCTCCCATACAGCATTCAGGCGCCACATGGTTCCCAAGTTAAGCAATGCACATGCGCCTGGGTTATATAAAAGCAAAGCAATTTGAGCTACAGTTGGCTGTTGGATCAGACCACACGAGCCAACCTAGCTGCTTGGATGCAACATTGAGCCTTGGCCCGCCATGAACCACTGTTCCTTCCTTGAACCAGTTCTGGTTTGGATTCTGCCCAAAGCAGAACAGGAAAAAGTCCACAAGAGCTGCAGTTTAAGAGATGATCTGACCAAGTCAAAGCCTTACGCTCGCCCATTTCTTCTGCTTCTACATCATCAGGTTCCTGGGGAAAACTTTCACTTAAATAAATCCCACCCGCTGGCAGGCGACAGCGAACATAACCAAACCACGGCTACCTTAGCGGATGCAAAGAGGACATGAGAAAAGTTTAAAACGGAGGCTGATTAAGGAGAGGCCGTGAATAGGACAAGCAAATAACAAGAAAAGATGAACATGATGAGCAAAGGAGAGGGTGAAGGTTAACAGCAATTGAGGACAAGGAGATAATACCTAAGAGATGGCAGAGGGTCTGAGTAAGAAAAAAAAAATCACCTAAAAGCAAGAGGTAACAAAAGGAAGGGAAAAAAAGCCTCTGTTTCATCAGCTATCCTTTGACTGATTTTTGTGAGAGGCCCATTAGTACGGCCTGGGGAGGGAGAACCACATGGCACCAATAAGACCTCTTAAGCAGCAAGCTGTCTGGAGGTCATGCTGCAATATAGCCGACATTAACAGTTCGATCTGCGTAATAAGACCGAAAAGAAATTCACTGACCCTATGGCCACAGCAAAATGTCTATTTCGCTAAGCCATAAAGGAGAATATTTTTGAGAGCACTGGCAAGGGAGATCTTTTGAGGAGTCGCATATTTGAATATTTTTATGTATCTTTTTTTTGTTTTCCTTTGAGCACACAGAAGACTATTACGGACATGTTATGTTTCCACAAACATAAGTCCCTCTTAAACATGTCGCTTTTAAAACAAGCCCTGCTCTCAGATGTCCCCATTTATGCCGGTCAGGTTTTTGACCAAGAGAAAGAAAATAAATCCTCGACTCAGCTTTTAAAGGGTTGTATTCAACGTCCCGGCTACATCACCCTAACACTGAGCTGTAGTGATGGAAAGAAACATGACCGTTCAGTAGGAGCAGACAGTTACCAAGCATCAAAGATGAGTGTTTTTCTCACTGCCAGCAAAGACATGCACAAACATATAAATGTTACATTGTCTTGTTTTCACTGAGGTCGACCCCTCAGCAAATGTAGATTCACATTAGTTGCAGCAAACATTATCATACTCTTTAAATATGCTTGCTGATATTGGTCATGAGCATAAGGAAACATATAAAACACATATTTTACTATGTTTCATTTTAGTAAAATAAAATATCTGAATCTAAAAAAAAGAGAGTGTACTCTGCATTTCAGTCAATTTCATGGAACCTTTAGTTGCAAGTCGTTTGTGGTTCGTTTCTTGTAGTTTTGCACATCCAACAAAAATGTCAATTCTTCTTTGCAGAAAAGCTCTGCCTCTGTCCTGAGCGCAGTTCTAATGTTTTGCAATGAATTCTCAAGTGGATCCAGGTCTGGACTTTGACTGGGCCAGAAAATGATAAGAAGCTAAACAATTTTGTTGCATCTCTGGCGGTATATTTACTGACACTCAGCTAGATGGTGGATCTCTACTCCTGTCTTCGGCCTACCTGAGTAAAATGGTCCACCATAATTTTTCAGATATTTTTCCCCTAACAATTTATAAAAACCTGGACTCTCGTCCTTCGTACTCCAAAATTATGTGGTACTCTGTGCTGGTCTATCGTGTAAAATCCAAATAAGATGTGTGACTGCAATGACACAAAATATTTTTTGCAAGGCACTGTGCAGATCTCCTTTTACCAACAGCATCTGCATGAGAATATGAAATGCACTTCGGTCTAACACACAGCTTACCTCGTATCGTCGGTGATAGTCACTTGGTCTTTTTGCCATGTTATGACAGGTGTGGGTACTCCCTCAATCTGGCACTCAAACCGAGCAGAACCCCCGGTGGTCACTGTTTGTGGTGACGGCTCCTCAGAGAAGCTGGACAGACCTATGGAGGGAAAAGCACCAATAATGTAGAACCCGTTGAATGAGGTTAAAACACCAATATAGGATCGATAATTGGTCGATTCATTGCCGTGTCATTAGTTGGTTTAAAACGGCAACATGGTTTCAAAACATTTGGTGTCTCTTCAAACCAGTTTGCAATTTCTATGACATAAGTTATAACATACTTGTCTTTGCAGAGACCTTTAAAGGTACAGTTTTAATTTAAACTAAAAGAATATGTGTGCCTGAGGAGTGATGTGAAGCACCAGATGGCAGCAGTGAGTAAAGTCAGTGAACCTTTGACCTCTTCCAATCCCACATGCTGGTGGGGGTGAGAAGAATGAACAAAACAGCTCCAAGTGTCCCCCACCACTTCAGCTTTAGTCCTGACTGCGATGAAAAGTACGGGGGTGGATCAAAAGAGAGAAAACACATAAAGAAGACCGAGGTGGGAGACCAAAGGAGTTTGAAAAAAAAATTAGTACAAGCCAGCAGAAAACTGAAAACCCTAAACAAGACTGGTGCAGATAATGAAGCTTCTAGTTAAACTCACCCTACAAGGGACTGTGAGAACAAACAGGGAGGCGTCCGGATGAGATTCTCAAACATTCTGCCAATTTCGGTGACAGATTCTCTGTGTGAACAGATCTGCATAACTAATTCAGAATACAATTGTCCGACTTGGTGTCAAAAGTGTTCAGCGAAACCACGCATGCAGTTTTTTGAGAAAACTTTCAAGCTAATCGCCTGCTGGCAGATGTTTTACTGTTTCACAGAGGACATCTTTCAAACACTTAGGACAATACTCAGATGTAGCTATTTAGTATTGTATTGACCTCTAACATTGATTTAGTGACCTCTAATATTTTACACTGTACTTTAAACATTGCAGATATAAATTGTAGACATACAATACATTACAGGCGCTGCTGTTATGGTAACAACTTGTGAAGAGGACAGTGATATTCCTGATAAGTGTTGCTATAACAATCAGTTGGGAAAATAAAAAAAAATAAAAAATGCACATCAATGTGTTTTCTTTGCTTCAATTTTTTATATTATTTATCAGGTAACTTTCCCAGGATGGGCCGACTGAGTAAAATTACACCAACAGCACAGCAAGGACTCATCCAACAGGTCACAAACAGACCCCACAACAGCATCCAAAGAACGGCAGGCCTCATTTGCCTCAGTTAGGGTCAGAGGTCACGCCTCCACCATAAGGAAATGACCTGCATGGCAGGGTTCCAAGGCATAAATCACTGCTGAGCAAAAACAACATAAAGGCTTGTCTGAGTTTTTCCAGAGCACGTTTTGAAGATCCCCGAGACTTTGGAGGAAACAATCTGTGGGACAAAAGCTGAACTGTTTGGAAGGTGTGTGTCCCAATGCATCTGGCGTAAACGTAGCGCCCCATTTCACACAGGGAACATCATACCAACAGTAAAACATGGTGGTGGCACTGTGATGGTCTGGGACTGTTTTGCTGCTGCAGGACCTGAACGCCCAGCCAAAACACACCAGCTGGATGGCTGAGGCAAAACAAGATGAAGACTTTGGAGTGGCTTGGTCAAAGTCCTGACCTGAATCCTGTTGAGATGCTGTGGCATGACCTTAAAAAGTCCAACACTCCTCTACAGCTGGAAACGACCCACTGCAAGTCATCACCAATGCTTGATTGTTATTATAAAAACTGCATTTTGTGTTGACTTGTGTTGTATTTGACCAATAAGTAAATAGTTTTTAAGGTCAGAAACAATGACGTGTGGCAAAATATGCAAAAAAAATAAAATTAAATAAATCCCTGAAAATTGTGAAAGTGGGAAACATTTCATTGATGATTAACCCCTGGCACTTCCTGACACATTGCTCTGCACCGTAGCCTAAAATCCCAGAGTTCCGCACCACATGCGGAACCGGCGCCTGACGCGATGCCAGACTGTCCGAGCGTGGGCGAGCTCGTGAGTCGCGGGGGTTTTGGGCAAAGCTGCTCTTTACCTCACAGTGTTCGGTCCGCGTCGGTGCCTGCAGACACACTCCTTGTGTTTGCATTGGTGGATTAACTTTGTGTATCTCCTCTCTAACGGTGTGTGCACACGAGGGTGAATGACAGCAGATAAGCAAGGGTGCACAGCAGCAAATGTCAATGAAAAGAGAGAGAGAGGAGAGGGGGTTGTTCAAAGAGGGCCCTTTGCCCGTATCACGATGGGACAATGGTGACTGGCTGGCCTTCCACCTCTGATTCTTTCAAAGTAGAACTGTGTACATCTTTTTTTGTTTGTTTTTTTTAGGCTCTCAGAATTCAAGATGAAATTCCACAGCAGATCCATCCGACACCCCAGTGATCACCCAACGTGGTTAAAATCTGACAGTGGTGACAGCAGAGGTAAGTTTTCATTGACGTTCTCACAACAAAGGCGAGATTCCAAAACACAGCTATAAATTAGGATGGATTTTCAGGTGTACTGTAGTTGCAAAGCTCATAAAAATAAAAACGCGACCAAATTGAGTTTATCCCCTTTTCTTTTTCTTGTCTCTCTTGACTTTCCCCCCCCCTGCTCTCTCCCTCTCTCTTTGTCTGTCCCCCTCTCTGTGCCCCACTCTTCGGCCCCTCGGCTATCAGATTGCAGCGTTTTTCCCCTCCCCTTGTGCAAGCAGATAATTCCACCCGTGACCTCTTTGCTACCCGGCTCTAGGGCTGAGATTGTGAAAGCTCATCAAGCATACCTCCAGCCTGGATGGGCTATTTGTAAAAGCTACCATGGAGCATGTGCAGCTCGGTCAGTTCGGACACGCGAGAAGGAAAGCCCTACAGCGCTGCCAAAAGGAAGATTTTTTAAAAATGTCTCCTTTATGGTACCACGCAGGTGTAAGTTTTGGGAAAAAGATTTTAAAAAATTTTAAAAAGCCATCTTGGTTTGTAGAAGGACATCATTAAATCCACTGGGATTTTACAAAACTGTCTCATAATTACTGTAGGAAACTTAATTACTTCATGTTTAACAAACACACTGTACCTGGCCTCGTTTGTGTTTATTTCCCTTCTGCAAATCGGCTGTCTGCTGTCTTTGTCTACACACTGAAGGAGAAAAGAAAAAATCCATTGCTTTCAGAAACTGTATTTAAAAAAATAATAAATAAATTAAAAAAAAAAAAAGGAGCGAAAGTCCTTGTCCGTCTCTATGCTTTTCAGGGACAAGCACATGATTCATACTTACACGGTGACTGTGAAACCAGAGCAGGTGGCTCTCCTAATGTGTTTTCACAGATGTGATCTCTGCTACATTCTCTCATCACTCTGATTCCTGCGAAGACACCGGGGGGGAGGAGGACGAGGAGGTCTGCTCGAGATCCGACCACCAGGCAGACCGGCTTCGGCCTGCCTCACATCCAACGCCTTGTTTCGCACTTCTGGTTCGATTCAAAAACCCTTCACACACAGACTGAAAGATGCACCGACGCTGTGCTCACACTCCTGAAATTACGCGTGTTGTCACAGTAACATGCGTAATGTATTGTACTGTGGTTTTATACGATATTCGCTACCAGACATTTTGCGTGTATTTGCGAAGTGAAAGTAAAATGTGACGCTTTTATTTATTTAGAGGAAAATGTGATATTATTTGTATGGATTTGTATTTTGTCCCTTTAAACCTGATTCCCCTACAAACACATCCACTTGAACTAGTCGCCTCATGTCATTGGTAAATAGTGTTGGAGTGTAAAAAACTTGAGATTTGGGTGGAAATTCATCTTCCAGTAGGATTATCCTGAACGTACAGTCAGGAAGTTACAATGGACTATTTCAGATCTGAGCAATTTCACAAGTTACACTGGACCAGTCAAAGTCTACACCTAAATCCAATTGAGAATCTTTGGCAAAACTTGAATATTACTCTTTACACACACTCTTCATCCTTCCCCCTCTCTCCCCCCCAACTGAGCAGAAGCTGTATTTGCTGTGAAAGAAGATTCTACAAAAATGTTACCTCAAACAGGATGAGTACATGTGAATGCCCACACTATTCAGTTTTTTTTTTGTTGTTGTTTTTTTTTGCAGTAATATTTCTTTAACATATAAATCTCTGCTGCCTTTTTTGGGGGTAGAGGGGTTTTAAGCATAAATAATTGCAATAAAATACATTGAAGATTGAAACTGTAGTGTAACTACAAGGGGTGTGGATCCTTTTGCAAAGCCCTTTCATTATGTTAGAGGCTGTAACTCTCCAAATTCTCCTTTGCTTTTTTTCCACCCTCTGTAGCATTTAATCTAACATCTCCCCCGCCCCCTCCCTGTTAGTACTTTAGTCCTTATTGTTCCCCAAAGAAAAGAGCTTCATAAATAAGCATGCAGCAGCTGACAAAAAACAGCAGATCCACATTGGATGGTGTCTCGTCTTACACAAAGCTAATGACTGAATAAAGAGCAGAACTCGGGAGTTTGAGGGAAAGTCAGTCCTTCGGTCAGACAAAAACTCCTATCTATCCCCTGCTGCTTCATATCACGATCTTCCAGCTAATTGAAAAATGGTACGGCTTTGTGCGAACCTGTGGGGTCAAGAAACACGGTCGTCCTTCAAAGAGCAGAAGAAGAAAGCACAAAGAAAACAACTTTTTCTCCACACGCTAAGGGAGAACAAGTGTCCGGCTGCAGAGGATAAGTTATTATTGATGCACAGATAAAAAGGCCGGTCATCAAGAAGCCAGAATGCTTTCATGCCAGGCGATAAGCAGATCAAATACATAAATGTCAGATTTTTTTTTTTTTTTAAACTGAAACACTGGATCAAAATCTTTACCACTGAGCAAGACTGACATAAACTAAGTTGCGTAAAGGAGGCGCACCATGTCTAGCTGCTAATGAATATGTGCTACTTACGCCACATAAACCTTTACAAAACGACTGGTAAAGCTGGAACCAAAGGTTGTGTGAATTTTCCACTTAAACGTACGGGATTCTCCCACTTTGACTGTTTCCTACAAGTTGACAGCAACAAAATTGTTTCCAATCTGACTCATTGTGGGCAAGAACTTCCATAATGCCCTCCTCTAAACAGCTGCAATGCAACTGTTAATCATACCAAAATGCCAGATGCTTGTACTTCTAACTTACAGCCTAAGATCACAATTAGAGCTGCCTAATGACGTACTATATGTAATGTGCCAGATCTGAGGCTCACATAACACTAAAAGTCCTCGTTTAGTCACCGCTGCAAACAAACACGATGAACCAGTTGTCAAAATCTGTCAAGCAAGTTTTGTTGTATTTAGTTTCTTTATCATTCTTTCCTGAAAATGACTCTCAAATTGAAGAGCCTCTCTCAACCTCAGCTTTTACTGATGAGGAGCATGTGAAGAATTAATTACAACCAACATGTGACAGGAAGAGTCGAACCTACAACCTTCCGATCACAAGACAACTGCTCTGCCCACAGAGCCACATTCGCCCCCATGCTGGGATTTATTGGATTTAGAAGTTAGAAGCCAAAATGGATAAACATGAATTTTGGTGTATTGTTGGCATCCTTTGACTCCTAATAAGGCTCTGGTTTCGAAATAAAAGAATAAAAAAAAGCCATTCATATAAAGTTTGGGTTAAGATTTTGTAGAATAATTATCAGCATGAAAGTCACTGTAAGTTGGGACTTTCAATGTTTTGTGCCACTTTTAATTTTTCTTAGTGAAATGATGCATAGTAGTTTGGTGTTCAAAAGGGACAAACCCACATTGAAACTGTTTACGAATGGATAAAGTGGCCTAAAAATCAACCAAACACAACTCTGAATTTCTTGCACTACGTTTTAAGATAGAGTCCATTTCAGAAAACCGGTCAATTTGAATGATCTCTGCTACCTATGAGAAAAGGAGTCAAATATCCAGCTAGAAATCAATCAGAAGCTTGTTGATAGCTGGCTTCATCAAGGAAAACTTGCATAAGAGAAAATCTACAATGAATTCAAATGTGTGCATCCTGTTCCACCCAAAAAAAAAAAAAAAAAAAATACACAGCTGAAAAGGATCACTGGAGTCTGAATAGAGCCAACAAACACATGCAGACAGACATCATGTAAGGCTCATCTGCAGACAGGACTGAGCCTCAGCCTTACATGAGCTCAATTACAATCTTCAAACGACAGCAGAGTGTTCTGTGAATTGCGCGACACCCACTTGCAAGCAGCACGTTGACAGTCCGGCTGGTCAGGGCTCCGATGGCGCTGGCACTCACGCAGCTGTAACTGCCCTCTACGTTCTGGGGAGGCTGGCTGTCTGCAGAAGTGGGCGACAACAGGAGGGATCCGTTGGTCAAATACCGCAGGCGATCTCCCGGCGCCTGCGGCAGGAGCTGGCCATCCTTGAACCAGGTGACATTGAAAGGAGTGTCGCTGGACCCCAGGTTGCAGTCCAGCAAAAGTGGCAAACCTAGCTCCAGAATCACATGGCTGGGCCCAGCACCACAGCTCAGTTCCACCGCCGAAACAGGCTTTTCTGTGTAGGAAGAGAGGAAAAAACAGATCAGTTCACTAGGATGTACCATGACGGGTCTGGGACAGTTTATCTTTACTCCATACAACAGTTTTACGACTTTCTACAAGGAACTCTCAGAATATATGAAAAACAAAGCATTTTTCCTCACTTGTCTAACTTCTTTTACTATGTGATAAATTTGGGAAAAACATCATACTCGCTACTTTGAAACATTTTACTCGTCTCTGCAAAGTTGGGAGCACAGATGGATTTAACAGAACATTTATAAAACGGGCCGTTCTGAAATAGAGCGGAGACCGTTTCTTGGAGGAGGATCTTTAAAAATGAGATTGGCACAGTAAGAGTTTATTGGCACCGCTGGTAAAGATCTGTAAAAAAAAAAAAGTGTATAAATCAGTCTTTCACTGCAGTGGGATAAAATGAAAGACCAATTTTTAAAATGGGTATATTACTGAGAAGGGTGGGGGGAAAAAAATCACATATTAAGAAATAATTATTTCTGACAAAATCACAGCTTCCACAATAACAGACTTTTTCTACAACAATCCTTTTTCCAATATGACGATAGTTTGTCACGATTGAGCAAATATAGAACAGGGATTTATGAACCTGTTCTATGACTCTCTCTATTTGGTTTTTTCTCCATTTCATCATACAGATTTCCTGTTTTTAGTCCTGGATACATGATAGAAGGCTTTTGATTTGGCCATATGTGTAGAATCATAAAAGATCCACTTACATAATGCTACACTCTCCTATAAGGTTCTCGCGGTCTTTTGAAGAGGAATGGGTTCACTGCATCAGCATCACAAACCCTCACGCACACCTAACCCTGCTTTTCTACATATTTGTTCTCCGTTTCCTGTAAACCCAGCCTGAAAACTTCAATGTGTTCCGTCTGACCAAAGTTTAAAGCTCCGGTGGAGTTAGGCAAACTCCAAATGTTTACGGTTCAGATGGGGAGACAGAAACGACTTCTTTTTGGCATGCTTCTTAGGCAGCTGGCTGGCATGTAAACAGTGGCTAATGGTTGTTATGGAGACTTGGTGACCTCAAGACACCTCTCGCTTTGCAGCGGTTCCCATACAGAACGCTTTGGAAATGGATTTCAACTCCCGTATCGTCCCAATCAGCAGCAAGCGTGTGCTACAAATGATGTGACTGGGTCTCCTTCCAAATATCCTCAATTTAAATGTTGCTTTTTGATTATTTAAAGAATAATTAAATTAAAAACACATTCATCTTCCCATCAGTTTTGACCAAGTTAAAACAAAACACTGATGTAGAAACATTGGTGTTTTACAGATTTGTACATTTTAATCCCCAGTGACTCCTCCACAAAAGCATCAGTGGTTGTGGCCATCAAGTTACATTTTGGTCACTTCCTGTTTTGAGGCAGGCTATACTCTA